TTTTTATATTAAGTGTAATTTCAATATATGGACTCATGGGATTAGTACTAATTACTCTTTCCATAATAACAATGATTTCATATTTTCGTCTATTCTTGATATGATGATTGGATTATCATCAACTGTTATCTTTAAATATTTTTGGTAGATTTTATAAGGACTATATTTCTCAAGAAAGTTCATTCCTAATAGAATAGATGAACGATCAACTCCGTATAATTCATCCTTATATAGGATTATTTCTTTAGTATATTCTTTCTGATCCTCTCCTATAAGTATAAGAGGGAACTTTACATATTTTCTTATTTCAAGATTATTTCCTAGATAATCCTTAAATATATATGGTTCTAGTATTTCAAAGTCTATTAAATGACTAACAAATTTGGCATTTACATGACTTTTATCCGCTCCAGTATCTATGAGGACAAGAAGATTCTTCTTGTATCCTTCTTAATTTACATATCTTGTTTTGATATAATATTGTGAACTTGATGGTTCAGCAATACTTAAATTCTTAAGTTTGTTTATCTTAGAGTCTTGTCTAAAGGGGAATCTTGCAATAAGATTATCTCCTTCTAAGTTGACACTATTTCTTCTTATTAGTTTTCCTTCAGAATTAATTTCTCTAGCTTGTTTGTGGAAATCAAGCATTATTTGTTCTGGTATAGTGACTTCATGTTCTTGGTATTTCCTAGGAGGTATATATTGTGCTAATTCCTCAAAATCTTTATGTATGATAATGTTATCAGTTATCTTCTTTAGATTGTTATGATGGCTAGTACTAAAAGCAAAAATTGATTTTATACTTATACTAATAGCCTTACTTCTTCGTAACATTTTCAAGTTTCCTATTCTATAATATAGATTGAAACTTCGGTCAATATTTTCATCATTTAATGATATTGCATAATTTGATTTTACTGTAAATATTATCTTCCGATAGACTAAGTTTCCTACTACGGTTCCTAATAGAGCATCAATAGGATCTTGTAAGATTCTATTGTCCATGCAATAAATTTCAATTGGTATATTCATACCTTATCTAAAAAATCCTTTTACCATTATCTAGACTCCTTCTATTTTAATACATTTTAATTTGTTTCTTACATTCTCAGAAATTTTGGATAACTTTTGTTTTACCCATTCTTTTGTAATTATAGGAATCCTTGCTTTTCCTATAGTATCTTCTATATTTATAAACATTTCTTTATAATTCATATTTATAATTATTTTATTTACTCTTGGTAATATTTTTAAGAATCCTTGATAGAATACATCTTTTTCTTGTAGGTCTAATATTTTTTTGGTGATTCCTGTATATTTTTTAATATTAAAGGCAATTTCTTGATTTATACCTTCTATAGAGTCTTCAACTTCTTCAGTTGTTTCTATTTCTATTTCTGATTGTTGTATCTCCTGATTCATATATACTATCCCCTCATAATCTTCCTCTGATGAGGTTGTATTTAATTCATAAATGCTACTGCATTCACTATTTAGATCTTCAAAATCTTCAATTGTTTCTATATCACTATCATCTTGGAATTTTTCATAAATTTTAAGAGTTTTTTTATGATGTCTATATTTCTTTTTAGGACATTGAGGGGCAATGTGTCCTTTTTCATTACAAATAAAACATCTACATTTTTTAATATTTATTGGTTTGGGCTTTTTATTCCAATTTCTTTTCTTGAAATATTTTTTGCGTGGTTTAAAATTCCTTTTCTTAAATTTTTTGTAGTTTTTGAATTTTCTTTTATATTTTTTATATGGTTTATATTTTTTTTTATGGCATTCAAATTGTTCAACTTGGCCTATATCTTTATAACAACATAGGGAATTCTTTCTTATCTTATATGCATTCTTACTTTCAAGAGCTTCTCTACACCACATGCCTATCATTCTTTTTGTAAATTCAATTCTACTTCCAAGACTATCTATTTTTACTCCTTCCTCTTCTCCTAGAGGTAATAATTTTTCATATTTTTTTAATAATTTGAATCCCCATGGGAATGGTAACTTAGTAAAATAAGACCTTAATATAGGTTTATTTTCTAGATAATCTCCTTTGTTTAATATATAGTATAATTTTTCAAATTTACATGTGTATCTTTCTAATTCACACATATCACATATCTTTAAATTTTCCATTGCAATCATTCTTTCATCATATTCATCTTGTTTTCTTTCTTCTTCATTGGAAGCATATCTATCTCCTAAGAATTATGTTCTTAAGATTTTTTCAAACCTTTTTAATATCTCCTGTATATTTTGATCATTCAAAGTATTTCTATTATCTAATACTTCAGTTCTATTATCTCCATACTTTATTCTTCCTTTTATGGATTTTGGTAACTTTCTCCACCATTCAAAAACAATTCCTCTGAATGTATGTTCTATAAATCCAAAAAATGTATATGTTTCCCATTTATTAAATTGTATTGCTAAGTCTATACTTTTTATCCATGTTTCAATAGCTTTATTTTTGTTTACACAATCTAGATCTAACCATACTTCTGTTGTGTGAATTGGTTCATTATAGGATTTCATTGGATTTATTTCTTTTATGGATTTGTTTTCTTAAATTTCCAGTATATCTTTTCTGTGTTTTCCTGTATTGATTAATATCATCCTTAAGTGGTATTGTAGTACCATAAAGATAATCATATTTTTCATCACTACTAAATTCTATTTTTATATTTTGACTTGATGATGAATTAGTATTCATCTTTGTATTTTCCATTTTTTCAGTTAATTCTTCTAACTGTTTTTTATATTCATCATATTTTTCACCAGTAGATTCTAAGAATTTTTGTTCTAGTTCTTCTACATCTGTAATCATATATTGATTTTCTTCATATTTTTCCCTTTATTATTTTCTTTTTGAGTTATTCTAAAATCTTGAGGTAGATTAATTATAATCCTATCTTTTCCTTTAAGATTTTTATCTACTAGAGCATTTCCTACTTGTAGATTATATTCTAAATTTTCTAATCTTTTATGTATATCCTCAAAACTTTCATTTGTTGTATTTTTGGGTAAATAGGGATAACTAGATTTTTTATGTTTTTCTACTTTTTTCAAAAATTCTTCAATTATATTTTCTTCATCTACTATGTTCATCATAATTTTAGGTTCGCAATCTGGCTCTGATACCATTTCGTCGGAGTGTGCAGTGGAGGGGTTAAGATTTTTGAGCCAATTAAAATCTTCATAAGTATTTAAAATATCACAATAGAATTTATAAAATTCATTATCTTTTGTTAATACTTTTTCTTTAATAATTATATTTAATTTTTTAATTCTTCTTTCTTGGTTAAGAATTATTTTATGTATATCATTTTTGGTTTTGATTGCTTCTTTATCTATATAAGCATTTTTATGTTTTAATTTTGGATCTAAATATTCAGTAAAGAAACTTTTCAGGTCTTCTTTTAAATAATTTAATTCATTATCTGTTGCATTTCTTAGATCAATAAAATTTTGTATAATATTTGGGTTTAAATTTATTAAAGATTTATGATTTATATTTTGTTGGGGACCTAATTGAAGGTTTCTATACATTGTAATGGCTTTGGTTGCAAATTTTCTATAAAGGGTATTTTTGGAAAAAATATTGTTTAAAGGCTATTTTTCAAATGATTATATTTTTTTGGTCTAATCTTACAAACTGCTCTTGTATTAAGGCTATTTATAGGTATTTCCTCTAAGTTGCTACTCCTTGCAGCGGCGCCATCAATTCAAGTGAGTGCAAATTGTCCGAGATGGACACAAGATTTGGCTCGTTTTGTTGACTAAGGAGTCATGGATCCCACCAAGTTCTTTACCTGACATTGGGGTCAATGATCCCATTCAAGTAGGCAACAACAGGCCAGCTGAAGCCTTTTCAAAATAAGCTTCAAGGAGGATTCAAGATTTTTAGGCGCTTGTTTCTCATGCTCGCAAACTACTTCGGCTCTTCGCATGGCATGAGGCCAGGGATGTTGGCCGATAGGGATGTACTTGCACTACAAGAAATATCAGTTTTAACTACCAAAATTTTTCCTATAGTGAGAATGGATGAGAGTGAAACAGTAGAAAATGTCTCTGTTGGACTCGAACCCTGGACAGTTTTTAGTATGCTACCAAAATTTGTGAAGTCGCGTTTGTGAAATGCATCTTTTTAAGTGGATGCTCTACTTTGGATGATTAAGATGTGGCCTTATCGTGGCCGTTGGCCTGTGGTACTGGAAGCTTCTATTTTTGGCGTCTCTTGATTTGGCTCGAGGCTTGACTCTTGATTTGGTTCTCGGAAGACTTTTGGTTGAGAGAGAAAATATCTCTTGGGTTTATTAGGGTTCCTTCGCATCTCTCAAATTTTGGTAGCATATAATCTGAGTGATGTTTTCCCTAATGTGTGATATTCTGAGTGAATATCTGTGAGAATGAGTGTATGATAGAGTTGATTGATTCATATTGAGTTTTGTGTAGTTTCTTGGTGATTCTTCAAAGCATTTTTGCAAGTTTAGAGAGATAAGTGTTTTGATTCTTTATCCCTTTTGTGTTGGGTCAAACTTATGTAATTTTGTTGCCAATTTGGGTGATCTAGTGCAACCGAGCATAATCCATATTATTGGATGCTTAACAGGGGATGTAGGCGTTAAATGTGGTCACCGAACCACCTCCTATGCTTAGTTCGAAATAATTCTCTGTCTTGATCCTTTAATTTTCTGCACTTTTACATTCTGTAAATCAAGTATTTTCATGACTTGAATAGTAATATCGTGTGATCTTGGTACATACGTGTCGGGTAATTTCCATAAATGCACAACAAAAATATACATTATTCTTTGGGAGTTCAAAGATCTAAGAAAATTTCTTCTGGGATTTAAAATCATTTTCCAGTAAAACTCTAGTTTGTAGTTATGGTACTCGAAAAAGTTATTTGTTGGAACTTCTTTTCGGCATTGTATACATTTTGTCATACTAAGAGGTGTGAGGTGAGCTGGGATTACTCAGGGTAAAAAGGTAGTAAAATTTTATTTCAGTAAACGAATTAAACTAAACATACAAGTTGTACACACAATATACATACAACCACCACTCTATATATCCTCGATTGAAACACAAATAGGATAAAAAAATCATACACAAAACAAATCACTCAAAACCCTCTAATTCTCCACATAATTCAAACGCAAAAATGGGCTTATCCTTCCAGAAGTGTTCGAACAGCCTTAAACGTTGTCGGAATTGTCTTTCTTGAACTGGGGTGGCCGAGAAGTATGAGAATCTGCACCAGAAAAGCTGCCCGGCGGTGGTACTGGCGCACCAAAAACTTGGGCATTGGTGTAGACTTCTTGTCTACCTTTGGCTCTACCAAGAAAATAACACCCAAAACCTAGACATATTGAAAAGAGAATCAATGGCAAAGATATAACAATAACCATACCCATCTTCTTAATTTGCCTTCGTAAATTTCAATTTCTCAAACACCCTGTATTTTTTTTGCATATATGCGAGAGCGAGCGAGAGAGAGAGAGAGAGAGAGTTCTGAATCTGCCTATCTGGAAGTTTGGGGATCTATGGGAATTTAAAAGAAAACTCTCAACGGTACAATTAACGTTCCTATTTCTAACGTTCACTTTCTAACATCCAACAGAATATTCCATTTGCTGTCACCAGAATTGCAATTTGTCCACACTTTAAACTAAAAACTAAAGTAACATTAACTGAATTATTAACTAAAGTAATTATCAATTTTACCTTCGACATGATATGCCGCCACACCACCACCACCTCATTTTAACCAACATCTCTACTACAACCTCGATCAGTCACTCGATGGTTGTGTTGGGACCAACCTGATTAGTAAAATCAGGATATCTGTGTGTAAGAGAGATGATCGAGCAATTTTAATAATCGAGTCAATATTGCTTGCTAGAGGAAATATTTAGAAATGAGCAAATTACAGAATTTGATTACTTGGGCATATGGACTAAATGGCTGTAAATGGAAAAGATGAGTATCCTTAAGAAAAGTTTTCTTGAATGCTCAACAATTTGCAGGCTGATCAATTTCAGCATATGGCCTATCAAGAACTGCCTGCACCTCCTTCGACTTATATATATAGTACACACTCATGAAGATACCAACGGCTCCATACTTCCCTCCTGCAATGCTCATAAAGACCAGCATCAAACATTCTCCAGAAATTCTTTTCGGTCAGTTCAGGCACAGCATATTGTGGCTGGAAGTTTTCGATTTGGCAGACAGCCTCTGCTTCATCAAATAGCTCGCCCTGGAGGACCAGTCCAGGAGCATAATAGACTCCAACCTCAGTATACATTTGAGCTCACCTTGCCTGTGGTGTAGCTCAAATTCTGGTTTGGGATATACCATAGTTTTCTGAGGAAGTTTGTGTAGTCCGTGTGGGCAGAGCCAAACGGGATCTAACTAGGTGAATATTGAACAATTAGCATACTTTTATACAAGTGCGCATCAATTGTCAAAAAGAAAAATTAGCATAGTGAACTAAGTCATATATACAATGCAGAAATAAATAAAAGTATACCTCCATCTCACGGCAAGAGCATCTCCAACTTGTAAAAGGGAACAAGCATATCCTAAATGACACGCATTTCATGGTAATAATCCCTGATGGCTTCACCTTGAGCTTTCCTTCTCAGTATAAGGACCTCTGTGATAATATTCTCTGGTGGTAATCTACCCCCACAAACTCCCCCTCCAGCGCCATCTCAGCATGCTGGTAAAACAAGGGATTGAATCCAACCAACAGAATTAATTTTATTACCCTTCTTTTTAGCTTCCTCTTTAGAAGCAAATCTTCCCCCTCATGCAAACAGCAGCTTCTGCGGGAGAGTAATTGATGGTTTCAAACCTTTTCAGGGTTGTCCTGATCTCCATCCCTTGGTCTTGTGCAAGGTCGTTCAGATTGCCCACTACAGGCTTGTATGTAAGTTTAATGTGTTCCTTAATTGGTGTGAGCTTAATCTCAGCAGCAAGAAGTAGTCAAGAGTGTCCCTCGAGACCATGGAATAGCAAAAAAAAAGGTCAACGTATTCATTATCCTTTCTAGCTCTAACCAACCGCACATCAGGCACAACAATTTCATGAGCTACAACAGTATCAGAGAGAAGGCCGTAAATGTGGCGACTTCCTTCGATCTCATAGCCATTAATAAAACCACTAATTTAAGATCACCGACCTCTGCAACAACCACAAGGGCAAGATTCACTGGGAAAGTAACCCCGGTAATCTGGACCATACTGACCAGCGGATCAATTCTAGCAACCATTCTGTCCTTGCCGATGTCAAAGATCAACCTGAAAATGGCGAAAACTCTTATACTTTATATTTCGCATTCCAACAGCAACCCAGGGTTTTCGGGCTGGTGCAAACCAGGCCATCCCTTTTAGGGTTCTTCTCCTTGAGGCGTTTCATAACTTTTCCTAACATTTTCGACATGCTCTTTCTGGTGTTTCTTGAAGGTTGCATTCAGATGTCACGTCTCCAAGCAGTGCGCTTTAGACATTTGATTTTTCATTCATCATTGAAATATGCTATGATAATTTACTCTCGAAGTAGTACACTTTCGGCCTAGCTTTCATATTCAACTAACGAATCCTCGAATAATTGGTTGAAATTGATCAAAATCAACTTTATTAAACCAATTTCCAACCATACCCATCAACGCTCTTGACATGAAGTGAATCAAGTGATGATTCTCTTTTTCTAATGAGCTGAGAAAAGTGTTTCTATTCATTGAAATGAAATGTAATCAAATTTAAGGACAGAATTGAATTTTGACATAATCAAATTTGCAATGTTAATTATGTTAGGTTTAATGCCTCAAAATTGGGTTGAAATTTTGGAAGATTACGTTTTGTTTGAATTTGGAAAGAAATCAAATTATATCCAAAATTTTTTTCCTTTTATGCAGTTTAACCTAATTCTAGTATATTTTCTTACCCTTTAGAACTCCATTAGGTTTATGGACGTGGCCTATAAATTAGTGACTCCTTTGTCAGTTTTAGATGAAGCATTATTGATGTCCTGTATTATTCTCTTCATATTGTCGGTTTAATAAAATTCATCGTTCCTCTGCTTAGTTTCTCTTTTTCTACTTTACTTTAATTTTGTTTTCTTCGTGCGATCTTGAATAATTCATCATTGCCATTAAATCTCAATCTTACATTGTCTTTAGGATCAACAAGTGGTATTAGAGCACGGGTTGCAGGTTCTTCGTGATTTGGTTGAGATTTTTCAAGAATGAATTCGTTGAAGTATGAAATTCTGCTGCTGGATTGCAATACAAGATTTTCGCTGTGGCAAGTAAATGTGAGGGCTATATTGACGTAGATGGATCTTGAAAATGCTTTGCCGGGTTTTGAGAGGATGCCAGAAAATTTATCTATGGAGGAGAAACAACGTAGGGATCGAAAGGCTCTAGCGTAGATTCATCTTCACTTATCGAACAATATTCTGCAGGATGTCTTGAAGGAGAAGACGACGGCTGCTTTGTGGCTCAAGCTGGAGCAGTTGTGCATGACAAAAAGTCTGACGAGCAAACTTACTCTAAAGCAGAAGCTGTATTCCCATCGCATAACGGAAGAACGGTCACTGCAGGACCATCTTACTATGTTCAAGGAGATTGTTGCAGATTTGGAGATGTTGGAAGTAAAATATGATGAAGAGGATCTAGCCTTGATCCTGTTGTGTTTGCTACCCAGTTCTTTTTCGTCATTTAGTTATACTATATTGTATAATCGTGACACGCTAACCATTAAGGAGGTATCTGACGTTGTACGATAGAATTTCGTATATTAAATACAGAAATCATTACAAATTGTATTTTAATAAAATACCAGTGATGTTGACCTTCTTGTAATTGCAAAATTGCAAAATCCTCTGATTAATGATCTGAATATTTGAAGACGAGGGGCCACGTGGCTTGAATCCTAGTCTCCGAGAATTTGTTGAAAATTTGATTTGTCGAGACGTGACTTGTTCGGAACTTGAATCTCGAGGCTTGGACTTGAACTTGAACTTGAATTTGATTTGAAGAAGACTTTGATCTTCTTGGAGTTGGTGTGAACCTGTTTGATTTGAAATTTTTTTTTATCTTTTTGGGATTCATCGAGTTTAGGTTTGAGAGAATTTCTTCCCTTCTTCCGGCTTTGAAATTTTTTCAACACTTCGTGACGTTCTCTGCTTTCTTTCTTTTTTTTTTTGTCCCCCCTGTCTTATGGACCATTGGTCCTATTTATGGGAGAAAATTTGTGGTAATTTTGGTAATCACTCAATTATATTAATTAAAAGGGATAATTGAGTAATTATTGTTATTTATTTATTTAAAGAGATATGGGCCTTTAGGTTTATGGACCTTAGTAGATTTTATTTTTATTGGGCTAATTACTTAAATCGACCCAATCCATTTTCTTTATTTATTTATTTTTTATGTCTACAGACACTCTGTTCTCAAAGAAAAAGATAAAGTTGTTGGTTGGAGATCCTACATCTAAGGGTGGGGATGTTTTGGTTACTCATGGTGAATGACGAAGGGGTAGATCGAAGATGAGGTATAGCAATGTGTATTTTTATTACTGCAAGAAGAAAGGACACATTAAGAAAGATTGCGACAAGTTGTAGGGTAAAGGTGATTTACATGCAAAGCATGCGGGGCAATTAGGTAACGAGACTAACATTGTTGAGAATTTTTCGGATGATGGAGATGTAATGTTGGCTATATCTGATGGAGAATCCAAACCTGGGGAGTGAACTCTGGATTTTGCATGTTCATATCATATGTGTCCCAATAGGGCTATTTTTTTTTAGACATATGAGACGATGAAGCAAGGTAGAGTTGTTATGGGAAACAACCAATCTTGTCGGGTTGCAAGAATCGGTCGAGTCAGATTGAGGCTACAAGATGGGATAGTAAGGACACTTGATCAGGTTTGCCATGTTTCAGACTTAACAAAGAATCTCATATCGCTGAGTACTCTGGATGCAAAAGGGTATAAATTCTCCGGTGGAGGTGGAGTCTTGAAATTTTGAAGGGGTGCCCTAGTAGTACTGGAGAGATGGAAGAGATCCCAGTTGTACATATTCTAGGGGAACGCAGAACCAGTTAAGAGACATTTGGAGAAGTTCAGTACCGTACTGGAAGTTCAGTGTGGTACAGTACCTCTTGTGGCAAGCTCTGAATTGGTTAAGAACACTGTTAGGGAGAGCGTTAGTGATTCCGCTTAGCCACCAATTTCAGCTGATACATTGTGTTCAGTTGTTAGGGTTGGAATCATGGAGCGTAGGTACGGTGGTGTCATTAATGTCTGGAATGCTTTAGAGGACGTTGAAGGTAACAGTTCTAGTAAGAGGCCTTCTGATCCAACATGTGGTAGGGTTTCTGCTATAGGATGTGTTTCGACCCTGTTTGGTCAACAGTGATTCCTTGGTGGAATTTTGGGAACCCAAAATTTGGGTTCGGGTATCGCTTGTGGATGCCATGCGGAGGACGATGGTTTGGTGA